TTTGTGCGGCCGGAGGCGTGTACAGAGAATGTCGGCATGCCTGTTATTATGCTCGTCTGCGCAGTGTTGATTCTCCAGCTACATATATGTATGTGGGTGTATGTGCGAGCTGATTATATAGCCCTAGACAGCACTGCCACAGTAGTGCTTATTATTAGGCCTGTACACGCTGGCAAAGTAGAACATTAATTTTGCTGTCATTGTAAATCAGCAGTCAACGGAAGAAACGTGTTCGCTCATTGTGGGAGTTTAGAGGCGTGGTCGCCGACAAAGTAAACACTTTAAAAGCGTAATGGTTTTGCATACCACAAAGAATGCTTAGCGACACACACACAGATGCAGCTACTAGTACTGACATCAGCAAATGACTGCAGACTCACACACACATATAAGAAAGCTTTTGATTCTCACACATCAACCCAAATAAGAAAACTAGTCAAAGGCAACATGGCAATGCGAAGATTTCCGTTGAAATCGTTGCAAGGTGACAAGCATTTAACACAAGCAAAAAGCGTTGGACATCCACCTGGCAGCGTATAGCTGTTACACCTTTTGTTGTGGTTTACGTTGACGTTAAAAGCACCGCAACACCCTAGCACCCTAACCTCTACCTCAAGCCACTTCACATAGCTTGCCATTCAGCTCACCTGCCGCAAAATTGTCTCGAAGGACATTACTTAGTAACGCAATTTATTTGTGGTGGGTTGGGGGATGCGGCAGTTTTAGGTGTAAACTTGAAGCCCTGCGGCGCACTTGCGGGGTGTGAACGCTTTTGAAGAGTAAAATTGTTAGATTTGTAAGCACGCGATGGTTTTGTGTGTCATGGCAGCAGCATCTTGTTTTGCTTTGACAGGATTTTGGCTTCGTTTATTCGCAAATTGAAAATAAACACAAATTGTGGCTCACGCGGATTATGGGTATGGGTGGTGGGGATGGCGGGCGCTCAACTTCAAAATGTATTAGACTGAGTTAATCATTTAAAGCGGATTAAATTCTACTGACACCACTCAGCAGCGGAAGTTGAAAATTGGAGTTGCTGGCAACTATTTTAAAAAGATATATTTGAAGTTATATCAAAAAATCGTACATATTCAGAAACGAAATAGATTGCTCCAGGATATTATTATCGTCTTGGAAAAAAAAATATGTACTTTAGTTACGACGTAGTGTGTTGAGCACCAAAGATGAAAAAGTCCACAAAATAATTGTGGATGGCTGTTAAATAAAGACCTCGAAATAGCTTGCGCTTTGAAGATATCCACTGAATGTATTAACGGATATTTGGGCATCGGAAAGCTCTGTGCAAAGTGTGAGTCGCATGAGCTCACTTTTGAAAAAAAAAACAACGACAAGCTGATTATTCGTAGCAGTGGTTATACCTGTTCAAGTTTAATAAAACCGAGTTTATACATCGATATGTGCCGAAAGATGAAAAACTAGATATATCATTTCAGTCTGAAGGTCAAGTGACAGTCAGTTAGCGACTTTTACAAAGTATTAGTGGATCGTTTGAAGAAAAAACGTGCTGTTTCAGCACGGCAATGCACTATGTCACAAGTCACGAGTGGGAATGATGGCAAAAATCCAGGAATTGCGCTTCAAATTGCTTCTGCATCCACCTTATTCTTCAAATGTGGCCTCTTTAACTATTTCCTGTTCTCAGATCTTAAAAGAGTGCTCGCAGGGAAAAAAATGTTCGTCAAATGAAGAGGTGATCGAAGAAACTTGACCAAAATGGTATCGAAAAGTGACCCCTAGTCCTATATTATAAGTAAAAGTAAAAACTGCCCATGCCTTCAACTTGCCGTTGCCAGCGTTCTTGCGCCTGTGCTCTACATTCTCTTCCATCCGAATGACACTGTGTTGCTGGCGTCGCTTAGCAATTCAACTGCTGTCTCTAAGAAACTGCCAAAGCTATTGACCGTTCTAGCACTGTGGCTCTCCAAATGGATCATTGTTATTAATACTGAAGTGTTCATACAAGTGGTGTTTACACTTAGGCACGAAATATGTCCTCAAGTGGCCTTATGTGGTCATTTGTTAATTACAAGCACAAGCGCAAAATATCTGGAACGTACATCTGATAAGAAACGTACACGAAGAGACCACGTGGAAATTAAGACAATCGTGTTCAGTCGAAAGAAAAAGCTACTCATATATTTTAAGACAATACTGAGACAGATCTGGTCGCATGAAATTCAGATCTAAGGAAGCTCAGTTGATGCAATTATTGTTATTCAAGTCTTTCAAAGTAAATGTCCGTAAGCTCTTATCACATTTACCAAAGCGCTCTACTAGAGCACATGTGATCAGTAACAGCTCTACAAAATCCGGTGAATCCTTATGGCTTCCAATAACATCATTTGAAACAAACACAGTATTGATGACTGCAAGCAAGTTCAGTTACGCTGAGGCAGCTCGCTCGAAACCAAGGGAATAATCTGTGGTTGGCTTTGCTTCTCATTCCTTTAGCTATTCCAATTCCTTTGCTTTGTTGCTAGTTCAGTAGAAGTATAGTTTTATGTCGAAATATTTTTTATCAAACTGTGAACTATGTTGTTGTCGTGTGACTTCGAAATCACTGCTGGTCTTTAGAGTATGATTCTAGCTATTTTACTTATAAAACGCAAAGTCTACATTTTGGCGTCGAGTAATATTCAAAGCAATCTTTTGTAGAAAATATTAATCAAAATCGATAAAATACGGAAAATTCAAAGAATAAAGAATGAACATGAAAAAAATTCAGAGAATAAAGAATGAACATGAAGCAAATTCTATTTATAATTTCAAACGGAAGAACTTGAACCACAAACATGCTCCAACAAGTATTAAAGTTTTATTTTTCGAAGCACTTAACTTTACTCCGGCACCCATTTTGTATAGTTTCTTTGTTACATATAAACTTTCTTTATATATTCATTGCTTTCCATTGACCAACACATCCAGCTCATCACTTCCAATACTCCAGCCAACAAATTTATTATAGCTTATTAATAAAAAATGATGCGCTTACAATTTCTAGCCAACTACTACGAGCATTTAATCAAAGGAAACGCAAACAAATTGAGTACCATTCAATCGCTCATAATTTTTTGATAAAAGCGCAATGAATATTAAACCAAAATCAAACACTTTGGTATTTTATTACTTTATAGCAGTAACGTCATGCATCGCCAAGTGGTTTATTTACCATGTGATGTACGCATTTCGCTTTATTACATTGTACACTGCTTGCTGTGCTGTGTTTTATGCACTCTTGTTAGGTGTATGTCTGTGTGTGTGTGTGTGTGAGTGGTCGCAATGAGGGACGGTTGCTAGGGGTTACTTGTGGGGTAGCGAGTTTGACCTTGATATATATGATAGCGTGGTCATTTACGTGGTGGGCTGGTAGATATACTATATTCGAGTATTTTTTTATACCTGGAACAGAGGTGCTTTAGAAGTTTGCCACGAAGTTTGTAAATCCAGAAAGTAATGCCGGAGATTCATAAGAAAAAACTCAAAAAAAAAAAACCATCACTCATATATATATTATATATAAATAATCAGCGTGACAAACTGAGTCGACTTAGTCATATCCACCTGTCTGCTCGTCTCTATACATACATGGGAATTAGTCCCTTAATTTTCGAGATATCCAGCTGAAATTTTGCACACGTCCGGTTCTGCCTAAAACAGTTCTTTTTACTTAGAACCGCTATCAGACCACTATAGCATATAGCTGCCACAAACTGAGCGATCGGATTCAAGTCTTTCTATGAAAAACATTTTTGTCTGACCAGATATCTTAGCAAAATTTGGCACAGACTATTACCTAAGGCAACTATACATTCTCCGAAGAAATTATTCCGATCGGCCTACTATAGCGTATAACTGTCATACAAACTGTTTGATCAAAATCAAACTCCTATATGCAAAACTCTTTTATTCGTCAATATTTCTTCATGAAGTTTGGTATGTACTACTAACCAAGGTAAGTCTACAAGTTCCAAAAAAATCATTCAGATCGTACTAATCTGGCATATAGCTGTCGAAATCAAGTTGAAGATCTTTTTATACTCTTTTATGCTATGAAAAACGCAACTGTGTAGGGTATTATAGCTTCGGTGCAGCCAAAGTTAACGATTTTTCTTATTTTTTGCATATATTTAAAGATACAAAAGATATGCATATATAGTATATATACTTTATCCTATCTCTACAATCAGCAATTGTTGTCTTGCAAATTTGTTAGACTCCTTTCCATTTCATTCCATTTGTACGCACACACGCACACATAACGGTGCTGCGCCTGCCGTTTCGTTTATATGCAACAACGTCGACATTGAGTGTCCTTTTTGCCGCTGGTGCTACTTTAGTGGCCTTTAAAGTATCATAAATTTACAAAGCTGCCATTGCCGTGTTGCTCTTAGCACTCATTTACGTTGGCCTAGTCGCTAAAGGTCCGCCGTCCGTCGAGCCACGACCGTGGGAGTTGCGTAGCAGCTCAAGGCTGTGTTCAAGTAAAAGTGGTGAGTGGTGTGTGGTGTGTGTGGCGTGTGGCGAAAAAAGAAAATTGCAAAATGGGGTCCTTGTGCGCATTACGGTCATTTTGCTTTCTACTTCTCCGCAAGTATGTGTGAATGTGTGTGTGGGCTTTTATGCCTATACTATTTATGGTGGCAGCCGGAATTCGTATGACAATCGCGCTGGTGGCACTTTTGCCGGCAAAACCCCAAATGCTGAGGCGTTTTAAACCATCGCAATGTGCTAATGCGTCGTCAGGGCAACAATATTGTTGACACCAAGGCAAACGAAGCAAGGAAATGCAAAGCAATGGGAGAGAAACCCGTCATGTACACTGAAAGCGCCTAAAAGCATGCTACGCGTGAAGAATGTAAAAAAAAAATACCATTTACTTTGCGCTAACCGGCAGTCAACTAGGGATTCAAGTTCACCAACCCTGCCACCGCACACCAAAGCGTCTATTACACACCTTGTAGCACAAATTTTCCACTCACCGACATCGAGTTCGGCCGGCGCGGCTGCACCATTTTGCATTATCATAATCATAATTGTGCATAATATGAAAATATGATTTATTGGCTGTAATAAAAAAGCTAAAAAACCGAACGGCAAAGAAGTGCAGAGCCAAAGTGCCAAGCGCAGCAACCACTAGTACACGCATACTCACACACGAGCAGCTGGGAGCGTGTGTAGCCACAATGTCTGCGCTTTAGCACGGAAATGCCATATCAATGACGGCGAAAGCCAAAGGGAAAAGGAAAAGTGCATGAATGAAAATAAAATTTCCTATTTCCGTGCGAAGAAGGTATGAAATTTCCCAAAGGATATCAAATTTGCTTGTTGCAAGCCAACGCCAGCGCGTAGCCCCCGCTGTTACGTGCTGTAGTTAGTGAGCGTATCCTGGTAGGTGTGTGTGTGTGTGTGTGTTATGTGGAGTTTGTGCCATTGCCTTTGTTGTATAAGAGTAAATATTGGTTATTTTACACGGCTGTAGAGTGAAGTTATGTGCAATATCTTTCAACTGTCTGACGGCGGTGGTAAATACCATTCGCTTGTTTGGTTATCGACAGGAAATATTAGGGTTAGGCGAAGAGGTGAACTTTGCGAAAAGGTATTGTATTTCAACGGACGCATATATTGTGGAGGCGGGGTATGTAACTAAGTGGTAAATTTCACTTGCAAACTGAAAGACAGCTACAATTTAGCGAGATGATAAAGTGCGGAGGTATTCACCCACAACCACACTGCAATGAAGTTGTGTGCTTTGTAATGGTATATTCTATGATTAGAGATTCTTCTCTTAGTTAAAATGCAAACTGTCTCATAGAAGAACCCATGGCACGGATGAAGGCATCATAAATTTAGAAAAAATTACTATAATTTTTTTAAAATTTCAATATGCTTGAAAGAAAATTTAGCAATCATCCACTGGGTAATACTCGCAATCTCAGTGCACAGACATTGATATACTAAAAGAGTTAATTCTGAATCTTTTAGTTTGAAATTTTGTTTGTTTACAATTTTTATATCCGGAAATAGTGTGACATTTTAGAAGACTATTTGGCAACGGATCTAATTTGGAAAGCTGCGTCACTTATCGCCGAACGCACGATCTTCTTTCCAGTTTCAGCTACTTTTTGGAGCGCCATTTGCTATTCAATTCGACAGTTCGATGGCGTATTCATAAGATCACGTTCCGTCACCAGTAATGATTTGTTTGAAGTATGTAGAGTTTTCAGCTGCTCCGACTTCTTCCCTTGGCATTTTTGCCAAAAGATTCAAGTTTTTTGGTGCTAGTCAATTTTGTTAAGCTTCATACCCAAAAACCTTAATCTTAATGTTTAAATCGAAGCAAAAGAAATTTTAAGATCCATTGATATTTCTGCGATGCCAACAGAACGATTTTTAAAGCCTCAGTTAACAGAATTAGATGAACCAATCACATCAGAAGAAGTTTTCGATCTTCAGAAGGCTTTGTGTCACTCAAATACTTATATTCGTGATAAAGTAGAGTTTGACTTCTACAATATTATCCATGATTCTAAAGCCGTATTCTATAAAAACTCTTTGTTCGATATTATTTCCATGGTAAAAATTGTCTGTCAAACTTTTCGCGTCATAACCAAAATAGCTGACAAACAAACTTCTACTTCTTTATTAGCGTAGACACGGCTTACGCAGTTCACATACCACAATGACTTATTCGTCTTAGTCTTTGTCCCATCCATCGCACTTCCTGAGCGGCGGTGATGTCAGCCTTTACTCTTACGAGGATATCAGCGTAACTTTCCCGATTAAGGGACCTGACATTCCATGTCCATGTTCTTACATCGTAATCCTTAATACGTTTGCAGTGGTCATCATATGAGGCCATTTCGTCCTTTTCGTTGTTTTTTTTACATGACGAATCCAGGACTCAGCGCACAACCCTGCGGAGAGATAATTCACCTTCTCAATTTCGCTCGCCTTAAAATGGATATTTCTTTAGCCCCCCAGAGGATACTTGGTCTAAGACAGGAAGTGGAGAGCTGATTGAGCCATATGTCAAAGAACCGTTTCTGGAAACTCTCAAGTAAATGGCGCTCAGGGAACTTTCCTTACTTACGTAAAATTCTACACATGGCTTCATCCTCCCAACAAACACACACTATTTGAAATGTAGAGATAAAACTTATCACGAACATAAGAAAGGTTGTATGAAACTAGAATTTTTTTTAAATCGATTCGGATTGCACGCGCAGTTTTAATGGACCAGTCCGAGTCATATTTGATCAGGTTGTCAGCCGTATAGCATATACAATAAGCATATATGTGGTTATTTATTTATTATGTAATTTTTCTTTAATTAATAAGAGATTTTTAATAGCGTTGCCACCAGCAAAAAATACATACTTTAATTTTTTATTAAATAAAATTCAATTAAATGTTACAATTTTTGTAATTTTGTCAAGTAATTGAAAATTGTTTATTTTCTCAATATTTATTAACAGCGTTACCACCTCATTTGTTTTTAATATCTATTAATATTAGTATACGAAACTTATGAAACGGCTAGGTCTAACGCTATGTAATTGCCCATAATTAATAAATAATTTTTAATAGCGTTGCCACCAGTAAAAAAATTACATACTTTAAAATTTTAATAAATAAAGTCCTACATTTTCATAATTTTTTCAAATAATGTGCGCGCTATTGTTTATTTTCAAAATTTTTTATTAACAGCGTTGCCACCTCATTTGTGTTTAGTATCTATTAATATTTGTAAACTGAACATATGAAACGTCTACGTCTATTGTTATGTAGTTTTCCCATAATTAATAAATAATTTTTAATAGCGTTGCCACCAGAACAAAAAGTACACACCTTAAAATTGTAATAAATTAAATCCAAAATTTTAATAAATTTGTCAAGTAATTAGGAATTTTTTATATTAACAAATTTTTTGTTAACAGTGATGCCACATTATTCGTATTTAATATCGATTAATATCAGTAAACTGAACTTATGAAACGTTACACCTAGTCAACAGCGCAATAATTTTAGTTTCCATATATAATATATTTACAAAACATGCTCAGTATCCATACGCGCATCATATAACATAAGAACCAATTTGTTTTATTTGCGCTGGGGACATACTGTCATTGCCACTCATATACGTTAGTATGTGTAACTATACACTTTTCGATGCTCCTGTGCCGACAGCTAGCTACCTTTTTAACATTGCAGCTGACATGCCATTTCGTGTAGATATTTCACACATTCGGCGGAAAGTGCGAAAACGCTCGCGCGCTGCCGTTGATAACGACAGTGTGGCGGCAACAACACGCACGGAGTGTTTGTAATAGTGGCAACGACATCAACGGCGTCAACATGAGCAGCACCGATGGCAGCAGCAGAAACTACGAAAAAATGCAACAACAAAAATACGCCTGAAAGTGGCAAGTTGGTGGCACCTAAAGGCACTTTGCCGTACACCTCTTTCACTCCCCTGCCACGCCACATTTATATTTTCGCTATTGTCACACTTTTTCGACGTTTTTGTTGTTACAAGCGGCGCTGCTGCTTGCAGCCAACTCCACTCCACTCACGGCTATTGTTGCACGGCATGGGGTGGCGCTGGCTGAATGAATTTCCATCTAAATGCAAATTTGTGCAAGTGCTACCTGTGAAAACCTTGCTAGAATACCGCACACATACACACACACATGCGCGCATATGCTTGCTATTCTAATCCATATTGTTTTTACCGTTTTCCTATTTATTTTGCCTTCAAAACTCGCTTATTTTGTCACTTCCGCAGAGGAATCCAGCATTTTTTGGGTGAAATAACTACTCCCAGCAGCAAATAACCGGATGCAATCGGTACGTGCCATGGTTATGCACTTGAATAGTTTTCGATGAATTTACATGCGAGTGATGGAAAAAAGTTGTAAAACTAACAAAAAAAATAAGGCAAATATACACAAATCCAAGTGTAATATTTATTTACATGTCTGTGTTTGGGTGTGCACATGTTTTTGGCTGTCAGCTGTATGCAAGGCGTTGCCAGAAATGGATCAGCCGTGACACGTTGTCTGAGTTGGTAGATCATCCGCCATTATTTGGTTGTAAAACACAGATATACACACACATACACCCATAGGTGTTTTGTATTTGAGAGCGTGCTTGTGTCGCGTCGCATCGCTTGTTTTAGTTGACCCGTTATTTAAGTCAATCTTTCGCTGCAAGTGGAAATGTATTATATTGCATTTTTTTTTGTTTCTTTTTATACTGATTCCACTCAGTATAAACCTTAGAGCGTTTTGACTACACCTCAAACTTAAGGGCTGACAGTTTCTCATTTCTTTACATTTTGTGACAATTCTATTAAACAAACAAAGTTAAATAAAGTATAATTAAATTAGATATTTCAGTGAGAAGATATAATAATTTCTGTCTAGTGATCTTCTTCTTTACTGGAATAGTCACCGCTTTCGCGGTTATTGCGCGTGGTGCCAGTCGTTTTTCCTTTTCGATGTTTGGCACCAATTGGAGATTCCAAGCGTAGCCAGGTCCTTCCATCGCAGTGGAGTTCTTTCTCTTCCTCTGCTTCCCCCGGCGGGTATTGCGACGAATACTTTCAGAGCTGGAGTATTTTTGTCCATTCCGAAATCATGACCTAGCCAGCGTAGCCGTTGTCTTTTAATTCGCTGAACTATGTCAATGTCGTCATATATCTCATAAAGCACATCGTTCCATCGAATGCGATATTCGCCGTGGCCAACACGCAAAGGACCGTAAATCTTTCGCAGAAATTTCCTCTCGAAACTCCCAACGTCGACTCATCGGTTGTTGTCATTGTCCAAGCTGCTGCACTATATAGCAGGATAGAAATAATGAGCGGCTTATAGAGGTGTAGAGAGGATTTTACTTCTGAAGTCACCAAAAGGGGGGTCTTTCATCCGAAGCTTGTTGTTCTTGTTTGGGTGCGTTTGTTTACGTGGTCCCAAACCCAGCGTCCAACCTTACAGGGTGGATGTTTCGCCTTCCCA